CATCTTATTTATAACAGACCTCGCATTAAGCACGTTGATATCTAGCGTGTTTCGAGTGGCGGGACTATGAATACTGTTATTCATGAAAAAATTTCGGGACTAAGTACTACCAGGCATAGAGCTATTTGCATTTAGATAGCCAGTAGGGGCGGCTGATAAGGTTTGAACTATCTTAGGGTTCAATTTTCTAGCCTGGGAAAATGAGGTTAAGATAAACCGAAATAAGCTTTTTGGCCATTAGGGAGGAATGAGGGAAGGCTAGAAGGCATGCAGATGTTAGCGGGGTTGTGTTGACGCAAAGCTGATGCTAAGTGTAGCGCAAAATGGATTCCGAAGTGGTCGGTCTTGTCTCACTAACCTGCTGACATCCATGGAAAGCTGGACGTATTCTTTGGAAATGGGTTCATCGCCCACTAGTGACCAAGCATAAAACCAAAACAAAGCTAATAGTGATTGCAAAAGTAGGCGCTTTTTAGGGTTTTCCTGTCTTCTGGCGTTTTGACGGCACCGAAGATGTGCTTTAAAAATAAACCTTATTATTATTATTATTAACTAGGCTTCTACCTCGTTCTTCAGCGGTTTTGGTCTACCTGGTTCATCCTCTGAGTTTATACTTTGGTCAATTTGGAAGGTTTTTAAACTGTGACTTTCTCGTTATCCCTAAGGAGGAACTAGAGATGTTGTTGGAATTATCCCCTATCTTCTTGGATACTTGGGTTTGAGGTGTCGGACGTAGATTCGGGTATGCATTTAATGAATATGCACTTGGTGCGATTCAATTGAGGGTCGTGTCTTTTTGTCTCATTTTGAGTGATTTCATCTGGTTGTCATCCTCTTCTGCTCTCGTGGGGTTTGATAGGCCAGAGTAAACTTTAGGTTCCGTGCCAATCAAGGACCAGCAGTCCGTTGCGACCTTCGATGGCGCACTTTTTGCTTGGAAAGTGCTTAATCTCAAACCACTTATAATAAGATAACAGCTTAATTTACGTTTTTTGAATAACTAGGGAATTTCTTTTTTTTCGGAGATCCATGCCGGTCGTCCTTCATCCGGAACAGAGAGCGGTTTACAGTTTCAAGGAAAGGCATCTTTTGGGAAAATAAGCTAACTTTATTCAGTTAATTTTCAATACGGGACCCCCAGGTCGTTGTCATACTTGAGAAAAACTGTTCAGAGTTCTGGTAGACATATTGAGTCGTCTAGTGTGGGCACTAAGTGGTAGTTGCAACTTGCGTCACGTTGCGGTGGACATAATTGGTAGTTGCAATGGCATAATAACTAATTGTCAACTGTCATCCGATGTGGGCGCTAATTGCGGTTCATTTAGGCCCATAGTTACTGGTTGTAGTCTCTTCCACCTTTCTTTGAAATGTTTGTACACTCCAGGTAAATCAATACGCCGGGTTGATGCATGAATCATCGGAGTGCATGGCCTCAAGAAATTCTCGGCCTTTTTTGAAGGGACAAACTCCGACGATGCGTGTTTTGTCCCATGCAAAACTGTCCTGTGTCAAGGCAATGCATGGCCACTTCAGACAAATGGTCACGTATCTTCACCGCCAATTGGTGCCCGTGGATGCGTGTAGAGATGGATCTTCCTGCTTGGCCACAATATACCATATCCCAAGCTTTGCATGGGATTTTGTAGATGAATTCCTTCTTATAGAGGTTGCCAATCCTATCCTTAGGGTACAATAACTGAGTGCCTAAAATAGCCATCCGTTTGTGCGCCAATTTTGTTTGGTGTTTACACAAGTGCCTTTTAACGAGTTCAGACACGTTCCTTATATAAGAAAGTATTCGCCATGTGTTTGTTTTGGGCGTCTGAATGGAACTATCTGGTCCCTTTTTGTTGGGTTACTGTTTTCTCGTGCATCAGCGTGCAAAGTCTCTGGGGTAACCATTGCGGGAAAACAAATCAAACAGATACGTTAGTTCGCTTCAGTAGGTTTCTTCGTCCGAGCAGTGTGTCTTCGCGCGGCGTAACAGACTGCTGACAACACTCCTTTTGTGAGAGATGGGGTTTTTACTCTCATGATTAAGAATAACTTCCGCACGAGTGTCTTTTCGGTAAACGGATTTTGTAATGTTCCGTAAGCATTTCGCTGCACGAGGATATCCAGAAATAGGAGCTTGCTGTTAACCTACTACTCGAGCGTGAATTGAATGCACGGAATGGTTGAGTTGCTGGTGCTGTGATGCGCTTCGTGCACGGCGAAATGCTGACGACTCAGCCGTTCTTAGATTGGACGATCTCGTAGAGCTGATGACAAAATGGGCTCTGAAGGATATCGGTTGTTTTCGCTTCTGACCTACAGTAGCCTTATGAAAGGGATAAGAGGGTCAATTAGAATCGAACGCTTAATAGATGAAGTCCGCCAGAGTGTCCAGTAGACTAAAATCTCAAAAGGAGTAAATTCCTTAGAGGTCGAAAATTTCAAATCAAATCTAAAGACACGCTCTATCAGAGTTAAGAAGGCACAAAAACATAATTACTAAATTTTCACAATCAAACATAACATAACAAAGTGATAGTTAATTTTATTCAAGTGTCCTGTTGTAAACTTTGAATCAAGTAAATTAGAGTAGGAGGTCAACGGCCTTATGAATGTGAACCCCGTTTTGCTACCTAGAGCTACCCAATCAAATAAGCGTTAGCACATGGCCCTTTGGTCGGCCTTGCAGTAATCCTAGCAACCTCGCGGCAGCCCCTCCATGAAGGTGAATTTTCGTTCGTTTCTTATTTTCCAAGCTTATATTTACGGTTTCTCGTTTACCTGTAGACTAATTTAAGCCAAACCTCGTCACTTTTGGGCGGTTTCAGTGGCCCGATAGTATATAAGCACGCATGCATTTTTCACGTACGAATCCCAATGAAAATTCGAAATACACATACGAAAAGATATTTCTGTTTATCTGAAAGGTAGTGTCAGAAAACCTACTTGACATCTTTTAGGGGCAAAATTTATAGAGAAATACAACGATGGGGATGAGATTTCTGTTGGCGGGAATAATTATTCGGCAGATATATAGTTTCCCTGCTAGCACAATCCCCGGACTGGACGGCGGGTGCCAATCGGGGGAATCGGGGGGCATACGGGGTAATACGGTAATAGGCGCTTCTCTAAGGAGATTTCGCAGGCTTCACATGTACTTTAGGATATATCTTATTCTTCTTGGTGGCAAGACATCCAGATTCCTTTTATTATATGTAGTTGTCTTGGGAAGACGCCCCTGCCAGCACCAGCCACCTAATGCATACATGCACTAAGTACTAAATGTTGCATTCTACC